AGCAGCACGACAAGAAGCAGCAGCACCACTGTGAGCAGCACGAGCGCATCCAGCAGCACCACCGTCACCAGCTCGACGGCAAGCAGCAGCACCACGCGCAGCAGCATTAGCGCCACCAGCAGCACCACTGCGACCAGCACGAGTGCCACCAGCAGCACCACTCGCAGCAGCACCAGCGCAACCAGCAGCATCACTGCGACCAGCACGAGCGCTACCAGCAGCACCACTCGCAGCAGCACCAGCGCAACCAGCAGCATCACTGCGACCAGCACGAGCGCTACCAGCAGCATCACCCGCAGCAGCACTAGTGCCACCAGCAGCACCACGGTGACGAGCACCAGTGAATCTAGCAGCACATCTGTGACCAGCAGCACTACGCGCAGCAGCTCTAGCGCATCCAGCAGCAGCACAGTGTCCAGCACGACGAGAACCAGCAGCACCACTCGCAGCAGCACCAGCGCCACCAGCAGCACCACTGTCACCAGCACAAGTGGAACGAGCAGCACCACTGTGACAAGTACGACGGGGTCCAGTAGCACCACTGCGACCAGCACGAGTGCCACCAGCAGCACCACTCGCAGCAGCACCAGCGCAACCAGTAGCACTACTGTGACCAGCACGACGGGAACCAGCAGCACCACCGGCAGCAGCATCAGCGCAACCAGTAGCAACACGGTGACGAGCTTAAGTGAAACCAGTAGCACATCTGTGACCAGCAGCACTACACGCAGCAGCATTAGCGCATCCAGCAGCACCACCGTGACCAGCACAACGGGAACCAGCAGCACCACGCGCAGCAGCACCAGTGCCACCAGCAGCACCAGCGTCACCAGCACGAGTGGAACGAGCAGCACCACTGTTACAAGTACGACGGGGTCCAGTAGCACCACAGTGACCACCACGACGGGTACCAGCAGCACAACGCGTAGCAGCACCAGTGCCACAAGCAGCTTCACTGTGACCAGCACGAGTGACACCAGCAGCACCACGAGAAGCAGCACAAGTGCCAGCAGCAGCACCAGCGTCACCAGCATGACGAGAACCAGCAGCACCACCCATAGCAGCACGACAAGAAGCAGCAGCACCACTGTGAGCAGCACGAGCGCATCCAGCAGCAGCACTGTGACCAGCACGACGGCAAGCAGCAGCACCACGCGCAGCAGCACTAGCGCCTCTAGCAGCACCACTGCGACCAGCACGAGTGCCACCAGCAGCACCACTCGCAGCAGCACCAGCGCAACCAGCAGCATCACTGCGACCAGCACGAGTGCCACCAGCAGCACCACTCGCAGCAGCACCAGCGCAACCAGCAGCACGACTGTGACCAGCACGACGGGAACCAGCAGCACCACCGGCAGCAGCACCAGCACAACCAGCAGCACCACTGTGACGAGCACAAGCGAAACCAGCAGCACATCTGTGACCAGCAGCACCACTCACAGCAGCACTAGCGCATCCAGCAGCACCACTGTGACCAGCACAACGGGAACCAGCAGCACCACGCGCAGCAGCACCAGTGCCACCAGCAGCACCAGCGTCACCAGCACGAGTGGAACGAGCAGCACCACTGTTACAAGTACGACGGGATCCAGTAGCACCACAGTGACCACCACGACGGGTACCAGCAGCACAACGCGCAGCAGCACCAGTGCCACAAGCAGCTCCACTGTGACCAGCACGAGTGACACCAGCAGCACCACGCGAAGCAGCACGAGTGCCACCAGCAGCACCAGCGTCTCCAGCACGACGAGAACCAGCAGCACCACCTACAGCAGCACGACAAGAAGCAGCAGCACCACTGTGAGCAGCACGAGCGCATCCAGCAGCACCACCGTCACCAGCTCGACGGCAAGCAGCAGCACCACGCGCAGCAGCACTAGCGCCTCCAGCAGCACCACTGCGACCAGCACGAGTGGATCCAGCAGCACCACGCGCAGCAGCACTAGCGCCTCTAGCAGCACCACTGCGACCAGCACGAGTGCCACCAGCAGCACCACTCGCAGCAGCACCAGCGCAACCAGCAGCATCACTGCGACCAGCACGAGCGCTACCAGCAGCATCACCCGCAGCAGCACTAGTGCCACCAGCAGCACCACGGTGACGAGCACCAGTGAATCTAGCAGCACATCTGTGACCAGCAGCACTACGCGCAGCAGCTCTAGCGCATCCAGCAGCAGCACAGTGTCCAGCACGACGAGAACCAGCAGCACCACTCGCAGCAGCACCAGCGCCACCAGCAGCACCACTGTCACCAGCACAAGTGGAACGAGCAGCACCACTGTTACAAGTACGACGGGGTCCAGTAGCACCACTGCGACCAGCACGAGTGCCACCAGCAGCACCACTCGCAGCAGCACCAGCGCAACCAGTAGCACTACTGTGACCAGCACGACGGGAACCAGCAGCACCACCGGCAGCAGCATCAGCGCAACCAGTAGCAACACGGTGACGAGCTTAAGTGAAACCAGCAGCACATCTGTGACCAGCAGCACTACACGCAGCAGCTCTAGCGCATCCAGCAGCACCACCGTGACCAGCACAACGGGAACCAGCAGCACCACGCGCACCAGCACCAGTGCCACCAGCAGCACCAGCGTCACCAGCACGAGTGGAACGAGCAGCACCACTGTTACAAGTACGACGGGGTCCAGTAGCACCACAGTGACCACCACGACGGGTACCAGCAGCACAACGCGTAGCAGCACCAGTGCCACAAGCAGCTTCACTGTGACCAGCACGAGTGACACCAGCAGCACCACGAGAAGCAGCACAAGTGCCAGCAGCAGCACCAGCGTCACCAGCATGACGAGAACCAGCAGCACCACCCATAGCAGCACGACAAGAAGCAGCAGCACCACTGTGAGCAGCACGAGCGCATCCAGCAGCAGCACTGTGACCAGCACGACGGCAAGCAGCAGCACCACGCGCAGCAGCACTAGCGCCTCTAGCAGCACCACTGCGACCAGCACGAGTGCCACCAGCAGCACCACTCGCAGCAGCACCAGCGCAACCAGCAGCATCACTGCGACCAGCACGAGTGCCACCAGCAGCACCACTCGCAGCAGCACCAGCGCAACCAGTAGCACTACTGTGACCAGCACGACGGGAACCAGCAGCACCACCGGCAGCAGCATCAGCGCAACCAGTAGCAACACGGTGACGAGCTTAAGTGAAACCAGCAGCACATCTGTGACCAGCAGCACTACACGCAGCAGCTCTAGCGCATCCAGCAGCACCACCGTGACCAGCACAACGGGAACCAGCAGCACCACGCGCACCAGCACCAGTGCCACCAGCAGCACCAGCGTCACCAGCACGAGTGGAACGAGCAGCACCACTGTTACAAGTACGACGGGGTCCAGTAGCACCACAGTGACCACCACGACGGGTACCAGCAGCACAACGCGTAGCAGCACCAGTGCCACAAGCAGCTTCACTGTGACCAGCACGAGTGACACCAGCAGCACCACGAGAAGCAGCACAAGTGCCAGCAGCAGCACCAGCGTCACCAGCATGACGAGAACCAGCAGTACCACCCATAGCAGCACGACAAGTCGCAGCAGCACCACTGTGAGCAGCACGAGCGCATCCAGCAGCAGCACTGTGACCAGCACGACGGCAAGCAGCAGCACCACGCGCAGCAGCACTAGCGCCTCTAGCAGCACCACTGCGACCAGCACGAGTGCCACCAGCAGCACCACTCGCAGCAGCACCAGCGCAACCAGCAGCATCACTGCGACCAGCACGAGTGCCACCAGCAGCACCACTCGCAGCAGCACCAGCGCAACCAGCAGCACGACTGTGACCAGCACGACGGGAACCAGCAGCACCTCCGGCAGCAGCACCAGCGCAACCAGCAGCACCACTGTGACGAGCACAAGCGAAACCAGCAGCACATCTGTGACCAGCAGCACTACTCACAGCAGCACTAGCGCATCCAGCAGCACCACCGTGACCAGCACAACGGGAACCAGCAGCACCACGCGCAGCAGCACGAGTGCCACCAGCAGCACCAGCGCCACCAGCACGAGTGGAACGAGCAGCACCACTGTCACAAGTACGACGGGGTCCAGTAGCACCACAGTGACCACCACGACGGGTACCAGCAGCACAACGCGCAGCAGCACCAGTGCCACAAGCAGCTCCACTGTGACCAGCACGAGTGACACCAGCAGCACCACGCGAAGCAGCACGAGTGCCACCAGCAGCACCAGCGTCTCCAGCACGACGAGAACCAGCAGCACCACCCACAGCAGCACGACAAGAAGCAGCAGCACCACTGTGAGCAGCACGAGCGCATCCAGCAGCACCACCGTCACCAGCTCGACGGCAAGCAGCAGCACCACGCGCAGCAGCACTAGCGCCTCCAGCAGCACCACTGCGACCAGCACGAGTGGATCCAGCAGCACCACGCGCAGCAGCACCAGCGCCACCAGCAGCACCACTGCGACCAGCACGAGTGCCACCAGCAGCACAACTCGCAGCAGCACCAGCGCCACCAGCAGCGCCACTGCGACCAGCACGAGTGCTACCAGCAGCATCACCCGCAGCAGCACCAGTGCCACCAGCAGCACCACTGTGACGAGCACAAGCAAAACCAGCAGCACATCTGTGACTAGCAGCACTACTCGCAGCAGCTCTAGCGCATCCAGCAGCATCACAGTTACCAGCACAACTGGAACCAGCAGCACCACGCGCAGCAGTACCAGCGCCACCAGCAGCACCACTGCGACCAGCACGAGTGGATCCAGCAGCACCACTGTTACAAGTACGACGGGGTCCAGCAGCACCACTGTGACCAGCACGAGTGCCACCAGCAGCACCACTCGCAGCAGCACCAGCGCAACCAGCAGCACGACTGCGACCAGCACGAGCGCCACCAGCAGCACCACTGGCAGCAGCACCAGCGCAACCAGCAGCACCACTGTGACGAGCACAAGCGAAACCAGCAGCACATCTGTGACCAGCAGCACCACTCACAGCAGCATTAGCGCATCCAGCAGCACCACCGTGACCAGCACAACGGGAACCAGCAGCACCACGCGCAGCAGCACGAGTGCCACCAGCAGCACCAGCGTCACCAGCACGAGTGGAACGAGCAGCACCACTGTTACAAGTACGACGGGGTCCAGTAGCACCACAGTGACCACCACGACGGGTACCAGCAGCACAACGCGCAGCAGCACCAGTGCCACAAGCAGCTCCACTGTGACCAGCACGAGTGACACCAGCAGCACCACGCGAAGCAGCACGAGTGTCACCAGCAGCACCAGCGTCACCAGCACGACGAGAACCAGCAGCACCACCCACAGCAGCACAACAAGCAGCAGCAGCACCACTGTGAGCAGCACCACTGTGAGCAGCACGAGCGCATCCAGCAGCAGCACAGTGACCAGCACGACGGCAAGCAGCAGCACCACGCGCAGCAGCACTAGCGCCTCCAGCAGCACCACTGCGACCAGCACGAGTGGATCCAGCAGCACCACTGTTACAAGTACGACGGGGTCCAGTAGCACCACTGCGACCAGCACGAGTGCCACCAGCAGCACCACTCGCAGCAGCACCAGCGCAACCAGTAGCACTACTGTGACCAGCACGACGGGAACCAGCAGCACCACTGGCAGCAGCACCAGCGTAACCAGTAGCAACACGGTGACGAGTTCAAGTGAATCTAGCAGCACATCTGTGACCAGCAGCACTACGCGCAGCAGCTCTAGTGCATCCAGCAGCACCACCGTGACCAGCACAACGGGAAGCAGCAGCACCACGCGCACCAGCATCAGTGCCACCAGCAGCGCCACCGTCACCAGCACGAGTGGAACGAGCAGCACCACTGTTACCAGTACGACGGGATCCAGTAGCATCACAGTGACCAGCGCGACGGGCACCAGCAGCACAACGCGTAGCAGCACCAGTGCCACAAGCAGCTCCACCGTGACCAGCACGAGTGCCACCAGCAGCACCACGCGAAGCAGCACGAGTGTCACCAGCAGCACCAGCGTCACCAGCACGACGAAAACCAGCAGCACCACCCACAGCAGCACGACAAGCAGCAGCACCACCACTGTGAGCAGCACGAGTGCATCCAGCAGCAGCACAGTGACCAGCACCACGGGTACGAGCAGCACCACGCGTAGCAGCACTAGCGCCTCCAGCAGCACCACTGCGACCAGCACGAGTGGATCCAGCAGCACCACGCGCAGCAGCACCAGCGCCACCAGCAGCACCACTGCGACCAGCTCGAGTGCCACTAGCAGCACAACTCGCAGCAGCACCAGCGCAACCAGCAGCACCACTGCGACCAGCACGAGTGCTACCAGCAGCATCACCCGCAGCAGCACCAGTGCCACCAGCAGCACCACGGTGACGAGCACCAGTGAATCTAGCAGCACATCTGTAACCAGCAGCACTACGCGCAGCAGCTCTAGCGCATCCAGCAGCAGCACAGTGTCCAGCACGACGAGAACCAGCAGCACCACGCGCAGTAGTACCAGCGCCACCAGCAGCACCACTGTCACCAGCACAAGTGGAACGAGCAGCACCACTGTTACAAGTACGACGGGGTCCAGTAGCACCACTGCGACCAGCACGAGTGCCACCAGCAGCACCACTCGCAGCAGCACCAGCGCAACCAGTAGCACTACTGTGACCAGCACGACGGGAACCAGCAGCACCACTGGCAGCAGCACCAGCGCAACCAGTAGCAACACGGTGACGAGCTCAAGTGAATCTAGCAGCACATCTGTGACCAGCAGCACTACGCGCAGCAGCTCTAGCGCATCCAGCAGCACCACCGTGACCAGCACGACGGGAACCAGCAGCACCACTCGCAGCAGCACCAGCGCCACCAGCAGCAGCACTGTCACCAGCACGAGTGGAACGAGCAGCACCACTGTTACAAGTACGACGGGGTCCAGTAGCACCACTGTGACCAGCACGAGTGCCACCACTAGCACCACTCGCAGCAGCACGAGCGCCACCAGTAGCACTACTGTGACCAGCACGACGGGAACGAGCAGCACCACTGGCAGCAGCACCAGCGCAACCAGTAGCAACACGGTGACGAGCTCAAGTGAATCTAGCAGCACATCTGTGACCAGCAGCACTACGCGAAGCAGCACTAGCGCCTCCAGCAGCACAACCGTGACCAGCACGACGGGAACTAGCAGCACCACCGGCAGCAGCACCAGCGCAACCAGTAGCAACACGGTGACGAGCTCAAGTGAATCTAGCAGCACATCTGTGACCAGCAGCACTACGCGCAGCAGTTCTAGCGCATCCAGCAGCACCACCGTGACCAGCACGACGGGAACCAGCAGCACCACGCGCAGCAGCACCAGTGCCACCAGCAGCACCACCGCCACCAGCACGAGTGGAACGAGCAGCACCACTGTTACAAGTACGACGGGATCCAGTAGCACCACAGTGACCAGCACCAGTGCCACCAGCAGCACAACGCGTAGCAGCACCAGTGCCACAAGCAGCACCACAGTGACTAGCACGAGTACCACCAGCAGCACCACGCGAAGCAGCACGAGTGCCACCAGCAGCACCAGCGTCACCAGCACGACGAGAACCAGCAGCTCCACCCACAGCAGCACGACAGGAACCAGCAGCACCACTGCGACCAGCACGAGTGGATCCAGCAGCACCACGCGCAGCAGCACCAGCGCCACCAGCAGCACCACTGCGACCAGCTCGAGTGCCACTAGCAGCACAACTCGCAGCAGCACCAGCGCAACCAGCAGCATCACTGCGACCAGCACGAGTGCTACCAGCAGCATCACCCGCAGCAGCACCAGTGCCACCAGCAGCAACACGGTGACGAGCTCAAGTGAATCTAGCAGCACATCTGTGACCAGCAGCACTACGCGCAGCAGCTCTAGCGCATCCAGCAGCACCACCGTGACCAGCACGACGGGAACCAGCAGCACCACTCGCAGCAGCACCAGCGCCACCAGCAGCAGCACTGTCACCAGCACGAGTGGAACGAGCAGCACCACTGTTACAAGTACGACGGGATCCAGTAGCACCACTGTGACCAGCACGAGTGCCACCAGTAGCACCACTCGCAGCAGCACCAGCGCCACCAGTAGCACTACTGTGACCAGCACGACGGGAACTAGCAGCACCACCGGCAGCAGCACCAGCGCAACCAGTAGCAACACGGACACGAGCTCAAGTGAATCTAGCAGCACATCTGTGACCAGCAGCACTACGCGCAGCAGCTCTAGCGCATCCAGCAGCACCACCGTGACCAGCACGACGGGAACTAGCAGCACCACGCGCAGCAGCACCAGTCTAACCAGTAGCAACACGGTGACGAGCTCAAGTGAATCTAGCAGCACATCTGTGACCAGCAGCACTACGCGCAGCAGTTCTAGCGCATCCAGCAGCACCACCGTGACCAGCACAACGGGAACCAGCAGCACCACGCACAGCAGCACCAGTGCCACCAGCAGCACCACCGCCACCAGCACGAGTGGAACGAGCAGCACCACTGTTACAAGTACGACGGGATCCAGTAGCACCACTGTGACCAGCACGAGTGCCACCAGTAGCACCACTCGCAGCAGCACCAGCGCAACCAGTAGCACTACTGTGACCAGCACGACGGGAACTAGCAGCATCACCCGCAGCAGCACCAGTGCCACCAGCAGCAACACGGTGACGAGCTCAAGTGAATCTAGCAGCACATCTGTGACCAGCAGCACTACGCGCAGCAGCTCTAGCGCATCCAGCAGCACCACCGTGACCAGCACGACGGGAACTAGCAGCACCACGCGCAGCAGCACCAGTCTAACTAGTAGCAACACGGTGACGAGCTCAAGTGAATCTAGCAGCACATCTGTGACCAGCAGCACTACGCGCAGCAGCTCTAGCGCATCCAGCAGCACCACCGTGACCAGCACAACGGGAACCAGCAGCACCACGCACAGCAGCACCAGTGCCACCAGCAGCACCACCGCCACCAGCACGAGTGGAACGAGCAGCACCACTGTCACAAGTACGACGGGATCCAGTAGCACCACAGTGACCACCTCGACGGGTACCAGCAGCACAACGCGTAGCAGCACCAGCGCCACCAGCAGCACAACTGCGACCAGCACGAGTGCCACTAGCAGCAATACTCGCAGCAGCACCAGCGCAACCAGTAGCACTACTGAGACCAGCACGACGGCCACCACCATCACCACCGCCACCAGCACGTCCAGCTTCACGAGCACCAGTGCCACCAGCACCAGTACCACTGGGACCAGCACTACTACGCCGCTCTACGTTGTCAGCAGTTCTATTCAATTTGATAGCTCTGGCACGCAAGATCAAGTGACAGACGCGATGACGTCCCATGTATCGTCATTCTATGGTGTAGCTGGGGACCAGGTGTCTGTATCTATCGCCTCCACCCCAGCGCGGGCATCCTCAACTTCGTGGGATGTCGGGATTGAGATAGTTGCCCCAGTAGATTCTGCCGCGAAAATCTTTGATGCGGCAAATGCGGCCGCCAATGATACAGCTAACTTCAGTGGATCATTGCAAACATCCTTCCAATCGCAAGGCATAGAGATGGTAGAATCTTCGTTGAGTATTGCGCCAGCCGAAATGAAAATCATTACTGCCACCGTGACAACTGTGAGCGCCACTTGGACCAGCACTACAGAAACTACTACCACAGCCACGAGCAGCGCCTCTGCTACCAGCATGACTGTGACCAGTACGACTGTGACCAGCACGACGGTAAGCAGCACCAGCACTCGCAGCAGCACAAGTACAACCATCAGCACCACCGTGACCAGTACGACGGGCACTAGCAGCACCACTCACAGCAGCACCACCCGCAGCAGCTCTAGCGCATCCAGCAGCAACACTGCGACCAGCACCACAGGGACCAGCGCCAGTTCGACAGTGTCTAGCTCAACTACTGTGCACACCACAACGATAGCCAGCAGCACCAGCAGCACAAGCGCAACAAGCAGCACCGCCGTGACCAGTACGAGAGCCACCAGCAGCACCACTCGCAGCAGCACCAGCGCAACCAGTAGCAACACTGCGACCAGCATAACGGAGACTAGCATAACCACGCACAGCAGCACCACCCACAGCAGCACGACAGGAACCAGCAGCACCATTGTGAGCAGCACGAGCGCATCCAGCAGCACCACCGTAACCAGCACGACGGTAAGCAGCAGCACCACGCGCAGCAGCACTAGCGCCTCCAGCAGCACCACTGCGACCAGCACGAGTGGATCCAGCAGCACCACGCGCAGCAGCACCAGCGCCACCAGTAGCACCACTGCGACCAGCATGACGGAAACTAGCATAACCACGCACAGCAGCACCAGCGCATCCAGCAGCACCACTGTGGTCAGCACGTCAGCGAGCAGCACAAGCGCAAACAGCACCACGATCGTTGCCAGCACTGGTGGGACCATCAGCACCAGCACTGCAGAGAGCGACTCTCCGAACAGCGAGGCTGTATCTCGAGTCGTCGGGTCGATTGTGCTCCTGTTTGCGGATCCAGACGTGGCCCGAGGCAGCCCAGACGCGGACAAGATTCTGATTGCTGTCGGCCTCACCATCTCCGAGGTCGCGGGCGTCGATGCCAGCCACGTCACGGTCTGGTTCGCGGAGGCCCGGAGACTCGCCACGGCCGCCGCGCGCCGGCTCCCCGCGGGCGCCCTGGAGGTGGAGTACGGCATCGACGTGCCCGCAGAAAGCGCCGCTGCCGTGCCCGACGTTGGTGCTATCGAGGCGTCCCTGGCACAGCTGTGTTCTAGAGCTCGGGCCTCTTCGTTTTCGTTGGTCGTCGTTCGTTCGTTCTTTCGCCGAGCGTCCTCCCCTCCCCCCGTCCACGGGAGGGAACTCCTGGAGGAAGGAGGCGACAGCCTCCTGTCCCTCGCAGCTCCTTGGTGCAAGAGCCAGGGCACGCGTGCCACTTGCTCAGGCGTCCCTGGGCAACGTGGACGTCAGCTACTTCACGTCCCTGTTACAGCAGAATGTCGACTCGAACGTCGGAGAGGACCTCTACTCGGTTCAGGTGCTGGCGATCACGTCTTATGCCATCGGAGCTCCTGATGCCCCCTTGGAAGTCTCAGACGACACTGAGAGTTCTTCCTCGACCACCGTCATCTATATCATCGTTGGAGTGGCGTTCTTCGTCGGACTTGAAATTCCGATCCTGGCGCTGTGTTGGCGTATGCGCAGGCGTGCGAATCAGCGTGAGGCGTCGCGTGAGAACCAGGATCAGCTGCCTGAGGCGCCTGGCCTGGCGACTCACGAGCACGGTCAGGCCCGCGTGGAGTCTGGCCTGGTGGCTTTGGGGAGCGTGGTGGAGTTGCAGGGCTTCCGGACCAACCTGCACCTCAACGGCCACCGTGGTAAGGTCATCAAGTGGATGCCCGATAGTGGCCGTTACGTGATCGAGTTAGCCGACGGCACAGTCAAGGCCATCTGGCCCGGTAACCTCATGCTCGTGGATGTGCCGCCGCCACATGCCGACGACGTTCGGATCGAGTTCGACAAGAAGGAGGAGCCAAGGGTGCATCCTTCCAAGCCAGTTGTGGCGCCGTTCTTGGCCTCAGCCGACGATGCCCTCAACCTCAGGCGGCCGCACGTGCTCCAGCCGAGGAGCGTGATGCTGCAGTCGCAGCAGGCCCTGTTGCTCGACCTGGTCCCACAGCGAACGGCGCAGTGACGACCACTTTCGCGCCGCCCTCGCGGTGCCTTTCCTCGCCCTCGACCCTCCGGACTGTCTTCGCAGGTTGCTGCCGAGTTCGGACGTTTTTTGGTTAGTGCACCCCAGAAGGGGTCATTGACGGTCCCAACCGTCGCGCGGGGCCTTAAGAAAAATGTTTTCTGAGGCGTTTGCCAGATCATCCGTTTTAGATTATACATTGTTGAACGACTGCCCCAAAGGGGTAGCCGTTCACCTTCCTTGCACAGGTTCCGCTCGCTAAATTTCCCACGCATGACAAGGGACTGTCCAGGATCTGTCGCCCAAGCTTTTCCCATCCAGAGATAGGTCATTGTATCATTGAGGCACACATCTTGCCATCATGAACTGTGTACTTGGTGTACGTGTGTTTGGTTTTCCTGCGACAGCCACGTGTGATGATAAAGTTGCAGAGACGGCAAAAGTGGCGTGCAAGAGAGCCCCAACGCACTCCAAGAGGGCGCCAAATCGAGCCCCGACCCCCCAAAGAGGTTACATACGCGGCCGAGGAGCCCCGAAAGGCCCCCCGAATGAGCCTCGACACCCCGACAGGGCCCTGCCGGCTGCCTCCACGGGGGCTCCCACGCGGCCGCAACCATCCGGTTCCCAGAGAGCTTTCCGGGAACGTGATTGTCGCCGCCAGTCATCGAGCATCTCTCCGTTGTCGCTCCAACACTGCCCAAGACGCTCCCCGGATTGCACCGAAGCATTCCACGATGGCGCCAGGGCGGCCCAAGAGGCGGCGGTTCTGGCCCAAGAGGCCCCAAGACGGCCCCCCAGATGAGCCTCGACACCCTAAAAGTGCTCAGCAGGCGGCCAAGGAACCCCAAGGCGGCCCCCCAAATGAGCCTCGACACCCCGCGGGGCCTTACAGAGGCCTCTACGAGGGCCCCAACACGGCCGCAACCATCTTGTTCCGGGCAAGCCTTCCGGGAACGTGATTTTCGCCGCCAGTCCGAGGCAATGAAGTTCCACGGCCGCAACCATCATGTTCCCAGAGAGCTTTTCAGGAACATGACTGTCGCCGCAAATCATCATCATCGGAGGAGGAGGAGGAGGAGGAGGAGGGAGGAGGTTCTCGAGCATTTTCTCATTGTTGCTTGTTCCGCTTGCCGACGCTCCAACACTGCCCAGGGCGTTCCCCAGTTTGCACCGAAGCGTTCCAAGAGGACGCCAAGGCGGCCCAAGACGCGGCCAACCTGGCCCAAGAGGTCCCAAGACGGCACCCTACATGAGCCTCGACACTTCAGAAGGGCCCAGCAGGCGGCCAAGAAGGAAGCCCCAAGACGGCCCCCCAAATGAGCCTCGACACCCCGCAGGGCCTCACAGAGGCCCCTACGAGGGCCCAAACACGGCCGCAAACCATCATGCTCCGGAATAGCCTTTGGGGAATGTGATTGCCGCCGCCAGTCCGAGGACATGACCGCCACCATCATGTTCCCGGAAGCCGTTTCTGGGAACGTGATTGTCACCGCCACGCATCGGAGCAGGAGGTTCTCTAATCATTTCCCCGTTGCTTGTTCCAACGTTGCCCAGGGCGCTCCTCAGATTGCACCAAAGCGCCCCGAGAGGGCGCTGAGACGGCCCAAGAGGCGGCCAAGCTGGCCCAAGAGGCCCCAAGAGGCCCCAAGACGGCCCAATTTCTGGGCCCTATAACGACCACGTTCCTTCATGCCAGCGATGTTTTTTACTGACCCGGTCCGTTTGGCGAGGGGCCGTTCGGCAAGCCCAGCTTTACAAACTGACTGCTAGACAGGCTGGTGACGCTGTCGATGTTGATACTGGTGGCGAGCGTCAGCAGGCGAATCTGCCCTGAAGTTTAGAACTTAAGGTTGATTGCGTGGGCGATCGTTGTCCTTTGCCATCGCGTGCGCTTGGAATCGTGTGCCCCCCTTGGGCCACGAGCCATGGCTTTGCAAACCCAGTCTGTCCCGAGATCCGCTCAAATGTGACGTCGGATCAGAATCGTGGTCTGAGTAAGCTTCCTATAGCGCGCTTCTTGGTGCGTGCGAAATTTCAAATTCTAGACGCTTCGCGTATCCCCACCAGCCCGTCCAGAAACGACGCCCAGGCGAGTAGAGGGTCGTCCTGAGGGGCTTTTCGGCGTCTTGGGTGTCTCGGGGGGGCCTCTGTGGGCCGTTCGGGATCCTCTTTGGGGCCTCCTGGGGGCCTCTTGGGGCCTCTTGGGGCCATCTTGGGGCCTTTGGGGGCCTCCTGGGCGCTTCTTGGGGCCATCTTTGCCCCCTCAGGAGGCCAAAATGGGGCCAAAATCTCAGTAAAATCAATGATTTTGGCTTCCTCGCCGAGGCCGTTTTGGACGCTCTGACCGCTCGCGGCCCCCCCCGTCCAGATCCACGGGGAGGGGGTAGGGGGAGGGATAAACCCCTCCCCGAAGGGAAAGAGGGAGGGGTGGAAGAGGAAACGCCTTAAACCACCGACGCCCAGAGGGCTGGTGGGATTGCCTCGATCAGGGAAGTGGACAGCACACAGAGGAAGCCAGTATGAGACATCTTGGGATTTCTTGAGCCATCTTGGAGGTCATTTTGGGCTCTCCGAGGCGCTCTTGGAGTCATCTTAATCAGTGCCCCCCCCCAAGAGGCCAACATGTGGCTAAAACCTTAGTGCAAACAATGGTTTGACATTATCGCCGAGGCCTCTGGGAGCACCTTGGGTGCCTCTGGGGGGTCTCTTGGGGCCTCTTGGGGGTCTCTTGGGGGCCTCCTGGGGGCCTCTTGGGGGGCCTCTTGGGGCCATCTTGGGGCCATCCTGCGGCCTCTTGGGGCATCCTGGGGGCCTCTTGCGGCCATCGTGGAGGAAATCGATCAAAGAAGAGGGGAGCTTTAATTAGCGCTGCCCCCTCAGAAGGCCAAAATGGGGCCCAAACCATAGTAAAATCAATGATTTTGGCTTCCTCGCCGAGGCCGTTTTGGACGCTCTGACCGCTCGCGGCCCCTCCTGTCCAGGTCAGTGGGGAGGGGGTAGGGGGAGGGGTAAACCCCTCCCCGAAGGGGAAGAGGGAGGGGTGGAAGAGGAAACGCCCTAAACCACCGACGCCCAGAGGGCTGGTGGGATTAGGACGGCCTACCTTGAGCAGACACCTTCCGCGAGCACGGCTGGACATATTTTTGCAGAGGGCCAGAGCGCTTTTTTCTGAGAATCGACAGCTTACGCCGTTGAGAGCGTACTTTCCCGCAGCTGTGCAAAACTGCGAGGACTCAAAAAAAAGAGAGGCCTCAAGACGGCCCAAGGGCCCTACAGGCGGCCGAGTCGGCGTAGGAGGAGGAGGAGGAGGAGGAGGAGGAGGAGAAGGAGAAGGAGGAGGTGGAGGAGGAGGAGGAGGCGACGAAGGAGAAGGAGGAGGAGGAGAAGAAGGAGGAGGAGGAGAAGAAGGAGGAGGAAGAGGAGGAGGAGGAGGATAAGGCCGAGAGGGGGGAAAAGAGGGCGGGGGCATGGGATGAGGATGATAATGAAGATCTCAAAAACCGGAGGAAGAAACGGAGGAGGAGAAGGAGGAGGAGGAGGAAAAGGAGGAGGAAAAGGAGGAGGGCGGACGGAGTGAGAGGAGACCGAGGACGAAGATAGAAACGCAACCCCAGTTCTGCCGCTGCTCCCTCCATCCTGCCCAGATCGTTCAAACACGGGCCAAGAGGCCTCGAGAGGGCCCAATATCACAGCCCTGCCCCTAGAGGGTAGCATGTACATATACACCTACATGCATACATACAGACATACAAACAAACAAGCAACAAACATACACACATACACCCATACATACAGACACACATACACACATACATACTACATACAGACATGCCTCTCCGTGGTCCTGACGTCCAGATCCATCGGGGATCGTCGTTGGAAGCCTTGTGGTCCTCGTCGGTTCTCTCGAGGGTGTCCTGAGCCGTCTTGAAGCCCTCCTGGGAGTTTCTTGCAGGCCTGGGACACTGGTGCCAGGGATGGCCCGGGATGGCCCACATCCGCGGGGGGGCAGGGCGCTCGGGAAGGAGAAGGATAGACGAAACCAATGGACCACGAAAAGCCGAAGGTAGGAGTCAGGGAATGACGAAAGCGGGGAGTCAGGAGGAACAGAAAGGGAGAACCAACGGAAGATGGGAGGGAGGAGCAGCAGCTGAGCAGGGCTACATTATTACTTCTCATCCCCCGCCTCCTGCTTCCCCCCCATGACCCCCTCGATGTTGTTATTCTCTGTCCTGCCTCAACTCGCCTCCCCTCTTCCTGCGCCTCCTACTCCTCTTGTCGATGGAGGCGGCGCTTATGTTCCCAGCCCCCTGCGAGGCCCCAGAGTGACCTCGCAGAGGGCAGCGCTTCGGTCCGAACTCGCAATCTCCGAGCCTCCCAAGTGGGGCCCATAGACGAGGTAAGAAACACGGAAACCATGGCCAGGATGTCGCGGTATTTGTTGATGCCGACCTTGGTCATGGTCCATGTCAGCCGTCGCGGGGGCCTAGGTTTTGTGGGGGCCCCGCCACTGAGAGGAGGTTGTGGCTGCAGTCTTGATTTTGTGAGATAGGTTTAGCAGAGAGATCCCCTAGAGGGGAACAGTGGAGCAGAGAGCGAGGAGACGTTCATCCGTCCTCATCCTGGCTCAAAGTCAAAACACCTGCTACCTCCTGCTGCTGCCACAGTTGGTAGCGGAGCGTGGCCTCGTCCAGACAGCCATGGGTGGCGGCACGCGGCTCCGGTGAGGGTCGCCAGCTGTCCGCTCGCGCGCTCTGGACCTGGTCGCGCTCGACCGACGTGCGGCGTGGGATCCACGGCAGATGGCCAAAGAACAAGAAGGAACACACTTCCTGGACGGACAACAGGGACAGCGTGCCGGTGGCCAGACCGCCGAAAGCGCTGCAGGAGCTGCCGAGGCAGCTACGGCCGCGGACGGGGTGCAGCCGCAGCACTTGAGCGACGAGCTGAAGGAGCAGATCCTGAAGCTCGCGCGGGGGGCAGTGCAGAGCACTGGCAGCTCG